GCATCATCTTCCTCATCACTAAACCATATTTCAACTGTGTCCATTTTTTAAATTTTATAATAAAAGCAATTATTTTAAAAATGATGTAAATAAAACACTCAAGAAACAAATGTAAACAAACAAACAGCTGTTTACAATTCTGTCAACCATTCACAATAGTACAAATTTTTATCGATCAAGTTACACAATAGCAAAATAAAAGATGATCGACTCGATCGACAAATTTCTATTCTACTGCCAGTCGACACTCGCAATAGGGGCCATTATCAAAGTTGCAAGGCCGTTGAGAATATTCACAATTTATGAAATTTCAAAAAATGTCAAAAAATCCGTCAAAAGTTGTTTTTTGAAACTACCTTCTATTTTGTAGTATGGTATGTATGTATCAGTATGTACCATGTACGACTCAGCAATGTTGCCATCACCAATATGTATGTCAAAATATTTCCAAAATAAATACAAATTCGTCAAATTGGGAATATTTTATGTTGCCCATTTTTCCAGATGTGTCTGAGCAGTATCACTATATTTTTGATTCTTGGAGTTATAGTAAATCGAGTAATGCGAGCGCCCTACATTTTTTACATGTCAGCAAAGGAAAGCCATGGGAGAGAAATTTTATAAGTGTATTTGAAGACGGTTTGAGAAAACCAAAATTTAAAATGATTCCAGATGTAGTAGTTTTTCTTTTTTATTTCTAGGGAATATCAACACAATAGTATCACTTTTTCCCCGAACTGTCAACAGAAAATAATATCATTTCTACTGATCATGATTATCTAATGCTTACACCACAACAAGTCCCCCAGCTGCAGTGATCCAAAGTGGATTTGCAATTTTTATTTCATTTTATTTTTGGCAAAGTTATGTATTATAAATAAACATTTCATTGTGTTTTCAATCATGGTTTTTAATTCGCTGTAATACACCCATACATACCTAATTACTTGCATATGTGCATACATATATTTACTCATACTTGGAATATGATGAACCTGAGTAGCAAGTCTCAAAGTATGCTAATCATAAATTTTCTAAATGCGCTAAATAGTTTTAATTTCTACGTATGGGCATTCAAATTTTAACACACATTATTCTCTTTTCTCATATTCTTCCAACAGCTACCGCCGCAGCGAGGACCTCGATGATCTTTTCAACATGACATCCAGTTCGAAATCGCAAGCCTCCAGCCAAGGTGACAGCAACTTTATGTTCAAGTCGAACAAATCACTGGATGCTGAAGGTCTACACGAGGAGTTGTTAATGGCCTAAGCTGAGAAGCTTAGTAGCAGCCTAAAATAGGAACACTACGTTCGTTGACGACTAATGGGTTCATAAATAAATCTAACGCTACTGTAGACAGCAAACAAAAAATTAAAATACATATTTTCCATGTATGTATTTATGTATGTACTATGTATATATGTATTGGCTAATAGATTACTCTTGGAACAAATTGTTGAGTGTGGCAGTCCAGCATTATTTGCGTCACAACCTCTCAGCCCCAATATATGTACATTAGACTGCATCACTCCCCATGCAAAAAAAAAAAATCCGTTCAAAATTTTTTTTAATTTTTTTTAAATATTTTTTTGCTAATTTTTCAAGCTTAAACCGTTTTGTCATTTAAGGGGATTTTTTCAAAAAAAAAAAATCTTTAAGAAACTATTTTTATTCATAAAAAACTCCATTTTTGGAGGTGTTTTCAAATCGGTTCAGCTCACGTAAATCTTAATATTTTTCCGATATAATAGATTTTGTAATCCCGTCGGAAAAACCGCAACTTTTTTTTTGGTGATGCAGTCTAATGTACATACATACATATGTATGTACATATGTAGATACAATTCTTGAAAACCAAAAAGCTATATATGTATATTTAATTGCTAAGATTCATTTACATATATACATATTTATCTCCCAAAGAACGAACTGGACTTTCGACTGTTGCACACTGTGCAAATGTGTAAGTAATTAGAAAAGAAATTTAAGCAAAGAAAAAAGGTGTGCAAAAAGCCCTTTGATGTGAATTTTAATCATAGCAAAAATATTTTATTGGACATTGTATTTTATTGAAACTATTTAATGCATATAAATGTAAGCATGATCTAACAAATACAAAATTTAATTGGCTTCTAATGCTTGTTTCAGAAATATGTATGTATGCACTATGTGCAAATACATATGCACTAACTACATGCATTCATACATAACTTAAATTTATAAAACTAAGCGAATAGCAAGAAAATGCTTTATAAACCATATTCCGCACGCACACTATTTATTTTACATGTACGTACATACGTACATTAGTACGAGTACTAGGGTGGTCCGTAAAATATTAACATCATTGGGTACCCCATTATTTTGTTCTACATACAAAATACGGACATCCACGAAAATTTTAAAATTTTAAACCAATTTGTAGGTTATATAAAAATTAAATTTTTTTGTTTTTAAATAGCTAAAATTCGACAAAATTTTTGACTTTGACCAGCTATTACTCTATCTATGAGTTTATGAATTTACAAGAATAAGTCCCAATATTAAGTTTTTCAAACCCCGGTAGCGACACTTATGCGTATTTAGGAGCAAAGGAGCGGAGGTATTGAATTGTATTCATACTACAGCTTCTTTTGAAAGCACAATTGCGAATTTCACATGAACAAATATTCCCAAAAATTATAATGCAAAACAAAAACAATTTTTCCCAATTTGTTCTTGTTTTGCATGTTAAATTATGGGAACAATTTATTCACATGGCAATTTATTCAAAGCAATAACTTTTGCTTACAGTGCAGGCGGTAGCTCCAGAGGATTGGAACTACACCTTAAATGTCGCATGATTGAGGTTTACTAAACTTAGCATCATTGCAGTTTTTAATTTCAAATACACAGCTTGTTTACAAAGACTTGCTAGTTGCCGTTACTGTCAATTCTACAGCAACTGACGATAGTTGTTAATCGTAATAAAAATTTTCTTTTCAGTTGCGTTACCAACTGGCAACAAAACCGTCTTTTTTTTGGTAATTTTGAAATTTTCGTGGATGTCTTTATTTTGTACGTATGTAGATGAAAATAATGGGGGCCCCATGCCAAACTTAGATGTTGATATTTTAAGGACCACCCTAACGAGTATATGTAGTTGAATTTATTTTACGTACTACGCTATTTAATTTGAATAGATATATGTATGTATATTTATTGCTTAAGAAATGACAAACAGCCAACCAAACAAGGAATTAAAATCCCAAAATCCGCTCAAAAAGCAACCATGAATAACGGATGATGTAAGCATATATAAGACAAATAAACATTCAATGTAATTCATCGAAGCTAGTCCTTATAAATTTTTAAGTTTTATAGTTTAGATGTTTATGTTTACACCTTAGCTTAGCTGTATTTATTTGTATGTATGTATGCGTAGAGGTACATAATTAATTTCTATCCATAAAGCAGGCAAAAAGGCAATTTAAAAACTTTAAAATGTACATACGTATTGAATATTTTTGAATGTGATATGTATTTAATTTGTAATATTCCTTAGTTACATATGTTTTTTTTTAAATATACAAAATGATATTAAGGCTAACTTATTAATAAATGAAATCAACAACTTCGGTTTAAGACAACACTTATTTAACTATAATTTTTACTAATTTAAGTAAGATTTTATCATTTGCAGATGCACTTTTATCCAAATGACGAATATTTAACAAATTTTTTAAGCGACCTAGAACAGGTCCTAGGCCTGGTCGAGTAATATGCCAAACTATGTTTAGAAATCTCTGCATATCTCTGGATGAAATTGTTGATTTTTTTAATTTTTGTACAAAGTTTGCAACTAAGATTTTTACGGTTTTTGATATAGAATAAATTTTATTTTTATTAAAATATAATTTAAATTAAATATCTAACAAAAAATAAGTATCTGGTCAAAATTTGTAGATATGTGGATGTCTTATAGTTATGATAAGCACTATATATTTTAGAAATATGTATAGCAGCATGCAATTCAAAACGGAATCATTTTTTTCTCGAACTAGGAAAGTTTCGAATTGCCCTTCTCCTGTCATTTCTATTATAACTTAAACTCTCTTTTGAAGTAATGAAGGAAATAGAAAGGTCTTCCTGAAAAAATTTTAGTAAAAATTTCTCTTGAAGTGAACAAAAAAAAAAAAAAAACAACATTTTCAGACCGTTAGAAAATTTGTAGACATGGTTTCGTGAATTATTCGACCGTACTTGCGATTAATACTAGGTCACTCGAAAAGTTCATTATTACACTAGCACAAAGTTATTTTTAGTATCAGTCCAAACCGAGAAGGGGAAGATTTGGTAGTTTTGATTAATCTTTTTCTCCCTTTTTAATACCAAAAAGCTGCCATAATGCATTTTCAGCCCGAAACTGGAATTTCTACATATTTTTTAAAGTTAATGTATACTTTTGGACCCGGCCAACATCGCTTAGGCAGTTTCAGCGCCAATAATGAAGAAGAATGTATAGTTTTGTTAAATTAATGCGTCGTAAAGAGCTTTTAAATTGGGACAAGCCGAAGTTAGCGCCCTGTGGCGACCATCTTGTTTTGGCGGCCTGTGTCTAACCTGTCGTATATTATTGTATTCCATCACTTATTGGCTGCTTTTCGATTAGTGTTATCAGTTTTTGGGTATCTCCTTTAGTTCCGAAGATATTAACTAATAATTATAATAAACAGTAGAAAAAACAACATCATTGCGAGTGTCGTGTCGAATGCAAGTCGTTTTTGAGATTCGAGTCGTATCGTGCATTAAATGAGAAAACTTGATAGCACTGGATAGTTTTCGACAATTTTCGTCGTCTATTTATTGCGGCACGACAATAGGCAATGCCAATGCTGTCGAGTCGTGCATTTTCATTTTAGTCTAATTTACGACGTACGCAATGAGGCTATGAAATAATTTAAGTATTTCGTGAACTAGAAACATTCTTCGGGACTTTGGGGAAAATCTATCCAAATTTTAATCGCGATTTCTCAAAAACCTGCCCAAAGTAACATTCGACAATCTTTTATCCAGGCGACGATATGTATATTTCTTCCTTGTTTGAGTTTTTTCAGCTCAGCGAACATATTGGAAACTACTAAAAAACAGGAAACCCAAAATTAACATAGGACCCACACAAATTCAAAATCTGCATTAAAAACCAAGAACTCAAAATTAGAAAGCGATATTTTTGGATAATGACTTATTTCCACTATGCATTGAAATTGTAAAAAAAAATTTCATTTAAAAATTCCTATCGTTCGAGATAGTTAATACGCACAGATATTTTTTTGAATGCTGAGCTTTGTCATTAGTTCTCAGGGAAATCCAGAATAGACCTTCTTCTTTTTAGAGAATGCTATAATTCTTGTCAATGGCAAACCTCCAAGTGTATTTCTGCAATGGGAAATCGCTTATCATAAAAAAACAATCGCCGCTCGGAGTCGGCGTAAAACTGTAGGCCCCTCCGCTTCATGTGACAACATCAAGGACAAATCGGAGGAGAAGCTCGGCCAGACACTAACATATGTGTAAGCGTCAATCTATTGTTATAATTCTCGCCAATTTTTCTCATATGTACACTGTAGTTAGGGTGACCAGATGAGTCGAAGGAAAAATCAGGACACTGCATTTTTGGGAGTTAGCACAATCACTTTCTTTTCCATCACACTTGAGTTTTGAAATGATTGTTTTTACTCTAAATGGTAAGAATTAAGAGTTCTCAGTTGAGAGTTGTGGGATGTTGTGAAAATCATTTTCAAGGTCGCCAACAAATGCTCAACACCATCTTTAGGTACAATAGGTATGCTGCTAAGGATAAAACTCAATAGCATATCTTATGGTGTCTTCATTCGCCACAGTTCTGGCAACAAACCAGTTGTACCTTGACACAGTGGTTCTCTATTTATGGCTTAGTGACAATCGAAAAATTTTGTACTTGTATTGTAGTTTCGGTCATTCGAGTTTTGCAGGGATATTATTATGTGAAAGATGTACAAAAAAAAGCGCCTAACGATATGTTTACGCAGTAAAAATTTTATAAAGGGTCTTCTTCTTCTTCTTCTTCTTCTTCTTCTTCTTAAAGGGTCAGCTTTGTAAAAATGAGCATAAATGAAAACTCAGCCAGGACACTTTCATTCGACCCTGAAATCAGGACATGTCCTGATAAATCAGGGCGTTTGGTCACCCTAACTGTAGTACAACCGCATAGGTGTTTTGTGTGCAACTGTAAATACACATCCATATGTGCAAATGTACTCATTACTTTTAATGCACATACGCATTGAAATTAAACTTTTCCGATATGCCATACTTAAAAGAAAAGATTTCTTATTTTTATTTTAAGCACTATTTTTAATAAAAAAAAAACATATATGATTGTATGTACATATATCTTGTTATAAACAAAAATTATGTTTACCGAATATTTTCGATGTCGAATAAATTGTTATTTGCTTTATTTTCTATACATTTGTACATACATACATATGTATGCATATGTTTGTGTTTTATTTTTAAACAAAACATTTTAAACATTTTTATTAAAGATAA